GAGATATCTCACAATATCTTGGAGTGCAAATACAAAGAAATAGTGATGGAAGTTTCTTCCTTAATAAGAAGCAGAAGATAATGGCTCTTCTAGACTGTCTTGGCCTGAAAGATGCAAATGTTATGCCAACTCCAGTGGAAGTAGGATTCTTAAAGGACATTAAGAAATCCGAACCTTTGAAAAATGGAGACAAGTATAGGACTGCAGTTGGAAAACTCCTATACATAGCCAATTTCGCCAGACCTGATATTGCAAATGCTGTTGGTATCTTATGCAGAATGGTAAACTCTCCTAATGAAAGTGCCATTTTGGCCCTCATGGCCTCCCATCCGCAAAAGACCAAGGGACACGAATAGGAAGTTTGTGAACCACGAGGGACATCTGTATAGATTAAACCATTGTTTTTAAACTACAAGCTATGTGTTTGTTGTTTTTGAGTCAGTATCGGTTTTTAGGGAAGAATAGTTAGGCAGACTCACATTTCTGTTGTTCTGCTAAAGAAAACCAGACTCTAATAGGTTTAGCTTTCATATTTGTATATTTTTGTTTCCTTTAATATAGGGTGAAGCCCTGGGAAACTTAAATTACCTCTCACAATATATTTTTAAAGTATTTTTAAAAACACAACCCATTCCACCTATATATTACAGACTAAATTTTTGGCCAATAAATTGTTCTTTTAAATACAGGTTGAGTCTCCTTTATTCAGAATTCTGAAATTTTCCAGAGACCAAAATCATCCACATAGGTGGCTGAGACAGTGACACTTTTGCTTTCAGGTGGTTCAGTGTACACAAACTGTTTCATCTATAAAAATATTTAAAATATTGTATATAAAATTACCTTCAGCTATGTGTATAATCCTATATGCCAACAAATATGAAAAACAAAGCAGTGGCCAACAGACTGGAAATGCTCAATATATATTCCAATCCACAAGAAAGGAGATACAAAAGAGTGCAGCAACTATAGGACAATAACATAATCTCAAATGCAAGCAAAATAATGCTCAAAATTCTTCAGCATAGACTCCAACCATACATGGAAAGAGAAATTCCAGAAGTGCAAGTAGCATTCAGAAAAGGAAGGGGCACTAGGGACCATATTGCAAACATACAAGGGCTAATGAA